AAATTGGTGAATTATAACTTGAAGTGAAGCTGTGTAAGCAGTGCAATTCAATGGAATTTTGTCACCGCGTCACTTAAACATACCTTTACCTACTGCCATTACCCAATAGTATTAAATATCAATCATAGTACTTTATTGTCCACGATATCAATGAAGTACTTTATTGCTACAATTCTGATGTAAATACACCAAAACAGTTACCAATACATACATTTGGCCAACCTTGGTGACCAAGTACGTGTACCAATTACTTGGCCAATGTTCCTTGACCAACTCACGTACCAATGTGGTACATTTTTTCAGTGGAATCTTTATTTTGTAATCTTTGTTGTGATTGTACTGTGCTTAATGAGCTGTGTGGATCTTTTTTGTTCAATGCTGATCAGCGCTATTGATTTTGGTTATAGATTTCTAGAGCACTTGTGGTAAATTAAAAAAAATCTAGAACTGTGGCATTTAGACCGATTTATCCAATGCCAGATAAATTTTAACTAAAGAATAACTTTGAATATTTTACAAATCTTCCATACTGAAAACTGTCAAATATTAATTTCATACTACAGTTAAAAGTCAACTGATGATTGAAAAAACGGTCCTGAGTCATTCATTTGACGTCACTTCTGAAGGCTTTGCTTTGTTTTTGTCATTCAGGCTTTGAAATTATCAGTGACTAATTGACTATGTGATGGCAATCCTGTTTGCTCTACCCACCTCTTTGGGTTTGACACCGGTTTGAGCAAATTAGTAGGTAGTAGTAGTGTAGTGAAAACAAGGAACTATACTTGTTTTTTACAGCTCTCAATCTATTACAGTCTAGGCATGTAAAATTCTCTATCATAAATATAGGTACTTGAATAACAAATGAACCCGAAGTACAATTCATTACTTTAGTAATAGAGCAATTTTCAAAATTCCATTCACTCCATACACGGTAAAAAGCGCAAAATTATCCACTTCTAATCATAATTGAAGCACAATTCGAATAGTTCCGAATTCGATCATCATTCGATAACTCGAATCGATACAATGCGATTGCCGATTAATTTGATGCACCGATCGGTAATTATTAGAGGCATTGTACTTATCATCGGCTGTTCTAATGGAGGGTTTGGGTTCGAAATAGTGTGGTGCTGCAATCCTTGTTACCTTGTTCTGATTCCGCAACCGGAATATCAGCGATTTTTATCGAATTCTCGATTGCTAATCGAAGAAGCAACTAAGTGCTTGTTAATCTATTCGTTTTTCTAAATGGAGCTATTAGGTACAGTAAATTGAATCGGAACTTTGTGTCGGGATTTTTTTATGTGTGAATTTTAAAGTATTAAAGGATGTACCTACATGTACAATACTCAACATTTATTTTGTATACAAAAATACGTAAATAATATTGTTCGATTAACACTTTAAAAAGAGGAGTTAATGAACTAAATTAAACTAACATAAAAATTAAACCTATTTATGTGGGTTCGTACTTACTATACCTTCATAATTTCATATGCATTATTTTTGTACGTATACGAAAATAATTGTTAATAATATTGTTCCATTAACACTTTACAAAGAGGATTTAATCAAATAAATTAATCTAACATAAAAATTAAACCTATTTACGCGGTTTTGTGCATAGTAAGTATACATATAATATTCTCTATTACATGGTAGATATTACCCCAGTTTCAGATAGCCATCGTTTAGCGTACACAATAATAGGCATTGTAACCAAGTTTCAACATACCACTGACTCAGTTCTACAGAGATGTTTCGAACTAACTCTAAGCTTACTTTAATTAAACAACCTAAAATTACTAATAAATTGGAATTACAAGAGGCCGTAAATATATTGGAATTACAGGTGTTCCGATAACCTGTAACGTTGCTTTATTTGAAATACTTTATATTGGGAAATTAATATTGTTTATTCTTTTTGTTATAGTGTAAAATTGGTACGAATAATTATATTATTGTGTTTTTTTTAAACGTTGCCCCACACTAGGATTTTCTCCTGTGTCGTGGGTGCGTTTACAAACATACAATGTCACATACACATGACACCCAGACCCGGAACAACAATCTGTGGATCACACAAAGACTTGTTCCGTGCGGGAATCGAACCCCCGACACGTTACGCGGCAGCCAGTTGCCCAGCTACCGCGCCGACCGTGCAGTCGTACCTTCTTTTAATTGTGTATAATATGACTGCGTATTATTTTTTAATTCTATCCTTTTGCAAACATAACCAAGAGGTCACCAATATTTTAATTTACTAACATCCAACTATAGTTTTGCAGTATTTGCTGCTGCAGTTGACTTTTAGGTTTACAGTGATTATTCACTGACTTATGCCTTTGACCTTATACATGATGACTGTAGTAAATTTTATTTGCTGTAGCCCATATATGTAGTTCAGCATTAAATTTTTATGTATCCTGTGATACATTCTATTGTTTATACGCGACTGATAAAGGTCGATAGGAGCCGATAGATCCGATTCGCTTCTAACTGATCGATCTGGAAGTAGTCAGGGAGGCACGTGTTTAACAGTGGATGTCTTGGATCTGATATGATAATGTCTAGTTTATGATGGGGCTGGCGTGGTTGTATTGTGTGTGACCAAAAGCCCCTAAATATATAGCAGATATTTAAAAAAAATGATAATGATACGTAACTGGAAACAATTCCTTGTCATGGTCAATATTTCATATTCAACAAAAACGCAAATAGTGGGGAACACAACCCGTGCAGAACTTTGGGTCTCATATTGTCGCCAAGCAAAGTCTTAAACATGTCACAGTTACTTTAGATTCAATATATACTTCTATATTTTGTTGTCCCATATATCTTATACTAGTCACAAAACAAATTATTACAATTAAATTGATTATTACGTCTAATCCGTATTTTTGTAGTCTACATGACATTTAGAACTAGGAAATGACTAATAACTACAGGATGTTACTGACTGCCACTTATTGATTTAGACATCCTTTTAAATTATTAATTATTATATATACCAAAATTATTTAGTGTATCGAACTGTCAATAATTCGAAGCTTGTAGGGGTACTAGAGTAAAATTAATTTCGACTAATGAAGACTGGTTAAAATCAGATGACATGAGCTGTTGATGACCAAAATCAAAATATATTTGTACATTAATCATGATCTTTCATTTGTAGAAGGATTGACAGATCTTAGGTATTTGTATGGGGTAAGCCTGTAAATGAGCAGACGGATCACCTGATAGTAAGCAATCGGCGTCGGTTGTGGACAACCGTAACACCAGAGACATTCAGGGATTGCGGAGATTGGGGAAGAGGGGGGAGGGGTAGTTGGACCTCCGATAACTTCACTCAGACGACGAAACACTACGCAAGCGTTGTTTCACGTCGGTTTACTGTGAGGCCGTGGTATCACTTCGGTCGAGCTGGCCCATTCGTGCCGAAGCATGGCTCTCCCACACTTAAATAATTAAGTATGTTATGAATATGGATCATGTCAATGAAAATCAAACATTGTTGACACGCAGCATACACTTTTGTAGTTAATAGTTATACTTATAACCTCATACTACTAATTACTAGTAATAAGGAGATGATGTATGCTTGACTTTAGTACTTTGTTACATAGAAGTTAGGTTCAAAATCGATATGGTATTGGAATCCAAATTTTCTGGTGGATACTGAACTAGTTTTTGTCCATCTAGCAGAATAATAAAAAATTTAGGATTTGTTTGATTTTGTTTTTTATCAGGAATCCCCGAATCCCCCACAATTCTCAAATTCCCAATTCCCAAAAGGCCGGTAACGCACTTGTCACGGGCTTGGTGTTTTGATCGTCCATGGGCGGCGCCGATTGCTTACCATCAGGTGATCCGTCTGCTCGTTTACCGGCTTATGCTATAAAAAAAAGAACAAAAGGTTGACGTTGATTAATGTGTCGAAAAATAAAATTTCAAGATTTTCTTTTTAAACTATCTGTAAAGTTTGAAAATTTGTTACTAAAGTTCGATTCTGTCCCACTAGTAACATCCTTCGTTCAGTTAGAGTGATTCATAAACTTTAATTTGCACGTTGCTTATTCTGATTTTTTCTCACGGCCTTGAAACTGTAACCGCTACAGCAACAAAGCTCAAAACTGAAATGATTTTATTTTTCGTGTCATTCAGATTTAAATTATTACTTTTGGATTAGTCATTTGTTATCATGAAGCGTATTCTTACTATTACAGATACTAACTAATAATATAGAGGTATGTTACAATACTTACAAAGCCATGAATTGAAAATGTGCTCATCTTCAATTTTAACACATTGATCTAAATGTTTATGACTTAAAATAGTTATATAATAGTCCCAGTTATAAATATCTGGTTTAAAACATAAAATTTTATTGAACTAATTTCTATGATTGATAGCCATCGTAAAACTGATTACATTTTGATACAGTTAACACCTTTATCAATTTTGTGAATCTGCAACAAAAAAAATTATCAAATGAAGTAGAACTTTGAAGATTTATTTGTAGAGATATTTCAAACCTACCTACTTACTAAAACAAAAAATTGCTAATAAGTTCTCCTACTTTAAATTTATACGTTCATATATAAAAGAATTACGAATAGATTCTTTCTGCGTATCAACCTACGTATCAATCTAACAATCAATATTTGTTTTAATAAATAAATATTTTATACATTTTTCATTCGTTAATGTAAAATGTAATAAAACGTAATAAATAAATTTGCCTGAATCACTGAAACAATCATAACAATATCCAATCCCTCTCAATATTCATTTTTTACATAAACACTAGAACAAACCCCAGTCTACACATATCGGCCTTAAAGACCTATACCACGGCGCTATATCAAACGTACGCACAGATGGTGCAATAGAAGTGCTTGTTATAAATACAGTGGGCCTGCCAAGACCTGCATCAGTGTCAGTTCAGCTCCTGTCGGCTGTGTCGAAGAGGACGAAAGTGACCTTTAGAAACTGTGAAAATGCGTGCCTTCCAAGTAAGTGCGGTGATTTTGTGCGTATTATTTAAATGTAGGCTTAAAAACAGATAATTTGTATAGAGTGTTAAAATTAGCTCGATATTACTAAAATGTTATATTTCTAATGTTAGCTATAAATTTGATTGAAATAATTAAATGTAGATGTTATAAGAAAACATCATACAATTTACTTATAGAAATTCCGATTCAGCGAGTTTATAAAAATGTATATATAATATGACATGATTATCGCTTCCATACCTACATTGATTTGATTGACCATTACTTAAGATGATGTAAAATCGGTATTTTTAAGTAGAGTTAAAATCAAAGCATTTATTTTTATAACACCATAGTTTTAGCTTTTGTTTTGTTTTTTAGTTGTAGCTTTTGAACCGTCAACAAATACAAAGTAAATAATAGTCCGTCACTGAAGATAGGTGCTCGGTGCTCTAGAATCACATACAATATTAAATTTAACGTAGTTAATATGAAACAAGATTTCTACGATTGTTTCAATACCCTATAGAGCTTTTTAGTTAATAAATAACTAAATGAATCTTTAGCATATACATACATAATAACCATTTATAAAATATTAAAACCGATAAATTTGTCATTTCAAAACTCATAACAATATTTTGAGCCCATAACCTAGTCTCGATTTACAGAATCCTAAACTAAATTACTTTAATTAATAACTAGGTACAATATTATAATTTTGCTTTAGGCTATTCATTTTTCTCTCATTTAAACTTTATAGTAATTGAACTACACCATTTTTTGAAAAAAATATAATATAATACTTTGTATAAGTATCCAAAATGTGTACTAACTACTTTAAATAACATATATACGATTGAATTGAGAACCTCCTTTTTTTGATGTCGGTTAAAAAGAGTAACAAAATCAAAACATTTATAAATGTATGTTGATCAGATTTATCGATACAGTCCCGTTTTGAATGATATCAAAATTAATTTTAATAATCATCAATCAGAAACGTCATAAAATATTATATATAACATAACATCACGTCTTTTATCCCCGAAGGCGAAGGCAGAGGTGCACATTATGCCACTGTACAATGCAACACCCACTTTTTACTATTTATGTTATGAGTCTCATGTAATAGGGGGTGAGCCTATTGCCATATACCGGGCACAATTTCAGACTCCGTGCTACTACTGAGAATTTTTAAAAAACCCTGTAATACTTTGCCCGTTCCGGGAATCGAACCCGAGACCCCTTGCCCGGCAGTTGCACTTGCGACCACTCGGCCAACGAGGCTGTATAAAATATTATAAATAAAATTAATTTGGTCTTAAAATTATTGCCTAAAGCAGCATGTATATTTTGTATTCCAATAGAGCAGCTTTACGATATTCCTTGACAAAATAAGTTCACCATAAAACCACGGCGCTATAGATATTTTCAAATAGCTAAAAACACTTATATGACAAACGATTATATAACCACAAAAAGCGCGTATTCATTACCGTTACGCTACATTTAACAACTGTTCGTACTGAATAAACGTAACGTAGTAAAGTTATGGGAAATATTGATATAACAACATGACTAATACGTAATCAGTTATGTAGAAGAAAATGTATTTTTCATTGTTTTCATAGTACGTAATGAATCGTACTCTATTCGAGTGTAAAAACGTATACATACTTTTTGTGCATGCATACATTCTTAGATAATTATCTTTTATTGTTCTTCAATTCTACAATTGTCATTTTCAAACGCATAGATTTACTACATTACGTTTGATAAATTTAACACTACAATGTTTAGTTTGTTTACACAGAATAAGTTGTTCGCCAAAGTTAAAGTGAAGTTTAAGTAAATACTTATTTGACAGTAAAAAAATAAATAAAAGAAAAACAAAATCCCAATTGAAAATATAAATTGTCTTTATTTTGGGAAGAAGTAATCACTACTAGGGGCACTAATAAAATGATATTATTGAAAAAACTCAGCAATTCTTGAAAGCACATAAAAAACAATGGCAAACGGGCTCCGGCTCGAAGTGCAGGAGAAGGAACGGGGTGGTTTTTAGTCACTAATAGTCTGACTGACACTCCCTCCCGCCTTACCTAGGCAGGAGCAGACATTCGAAGATTTTCCCCCCTTACAAAAAAACCAAGGGCTGATGCCGATACGGAGCCACGGAGGACTTAACGGGTTGCCGGGGTTCCGGCTCGAAGGGCAGGAGTAGGAACGGGGTGGTTTTTAGTCAATAAGAGTCTGACACTCCCTTCCTCCTCACCCAGGCGAGAGAAGTCATTCGATGATTTTCCCCCTTAAAAAAGAAAAAAATCCTACACCCAGACACTTCTTGTTTCATTCATCAAAATCGGAACAAGATATGAAAACACTGGTACTTTTTATTAGATCAAAGCTTCCTGCATTTGTTTTTTGTTTTCTTATTGTTGTAATATCTTCATAATATACCCACGGTCACAAATTAAACTTAAACCAATAATATTGGACCCCGCAATACGCAGCCAGTTCAAGTAATGAGAGTTCAGTTAATATTGACTTACGACTTTAATGTTGTTTGGTTGTAAACTATTATCTTACTGTATCTATTAGCATTGTTATCACATGTGATGAATGAAAATAATCAAATATGAACTGTATAACACTGACCTTAAATGTCACTATCATAATTGGTGCGAATTTTCTTGATTGTAATTCTATTGTTATTTGGAGCGAATTGTATTGTTTTTGTCTTTTTGTCCTTGAATACGGTTATGGTTATTATTTGTTTGTATATTACGTTATGTTATATCAGTTTTATCTTAAATAAGAATCAATATAGCATTTCCTGCTACCGTTCAATTTCCTTTTTCATTCACAAAAACATCTAAATGAATCATTAAGGTCATCATTTTAACCTACAACGTTTTAATGTATATTTGTTTATACTTTACTAGCAGATATATATAGACAATGGGCAACAAGTAAAGATAATAAATACCCTGCTTTTCCATGTTTGTCTTTCACTAGGAAAAGTCAAACACTCGTGGCATTACTAAGAATTTCACTGTAATTGATAACGCTATACATTTTGATTGTAGCATGATAATAATAATAATTATTATTATTCCATAAGAAAAATCCTTGAAATGAATTCAAGTATATAGTATAATTTAACTCTTGTTCTGAGCACTTATCTGAAAAATAGTATATCCTTTTATATCGTGCAGACATTATGATACGCAGATCCGGAATATCTATTTATTGATAACACAAGAAATTATTTTGTATAAAGATCGAAACAATTGTGCAGTCAACATTTCCGAAACTATTAATTCATACAGATGCGGAGCTTTTGTAAAAATAATTTTGTTTTTATTTCCAGGTTCTTATGTTTGTGGCCGTTTGTGCTGCTGCTAATGCTGGCTACATTGGTGCCGGGTATGGGGGTGGTTTGTCAGGCTATGGAGGTAGCCATGGAGGCTACAGCGGCTACTATCCTGTCCAAGCAGACTATGGACATGGACATAGCCAGGATTATTATGTAAGTAGTGCACAACATTTTTTTATGGGATACGCCGGTCAACGAGCGGGTCACTTGATGGTAAGCATTCGGCGTCGCCCACGAATACCCGGAACGCCATAGGTGTTACAAGTGCGTTACCGGCCTTTTAGGTTTAAGAAATTTTAGGATTGTTCGAGATTCAGGGATTGAAGAAATTGAGGAGGGATAACCGATATGTTCCGATAACCTCACCCATACGACGAAACACAACGCAAACGTTTCGCGCCGGCCGTGGTCAAGCCATCATCATTATAAGTAAGATAAAAGGTTATCATCATCACTTGCAAGAAGTCTACTCTTTGGTCGACAGTCTGGAAAGTGAGAACGGCTAAATTCCATCGCTACATCGTGAAGTTTTTCATACATTTTTATCAATAGATTTTCAACTTAACTTAACAACGATAAAAAAAAAACAAACGAGCAACCGATTCCTAAAAAATAAATAATCATTTTCAAGCGTTCAGTACCATTCAATCCTTTTTCTTATTTACTTAAACGCTCTGATAAATGTTTTGATAAAATCACAATGATCATAGATCACAGTCATTTATAAATACAAACGAGTCTCACTTTTACTGAGGACTCCATAGGGTTTAAAGTTCCATACATAGTTAACATGGTACAAATCGTCACGCTTATGATGTTTACTCACCATGACGTCCCATACTTGAAAGTTTGCGTCACACTTGTCATTTGTATTGTGAAGTTTGAGGAAATTCGGATATGAGTTGCCTCATTACACTGCTTGATACCGGAAAGTAAAAATTTGTCATTACGAAATGATAAACGACTATTTCTTAAATCAGTTTAATTGGCTATTTTTAAAGTACTTTTAAAACTACTTTTGATTTCAAGACTTTTACTGTATAGTAGAGTTATCGTTTTCTATACATTAAGTTATATAATTTTCAATAATAATGAAATAATTTTAATTAATATAATTTTATTTAGTCAATACAATATTGAAAAAATAAATAATTCAAGTCCACAAAACCGTAATTCGATATTATGCGCGTTGATGTCTTTTGTTCTACGGAAAGGCGATAAAGTATAAAAAATTATTTGCAGTTGTTTGGTTAAATATTTTTATTGTAATTTACTTCATGATGGTGTATTATTATTTATTTTATTTACCTTATATATTTTATAGGTATATATATTCATAAAAAACATTTTCAATTATTTTTCAGTCATACCCAAAATACTCCTTCGACTATGCAGTAGCAGACCCTCACACCGGAGATCATAAGACGCAGTGGGAGAGCCGAGATGGTGATGTTGTCAAAGGTATGGCATTATTTATTAATACAATGCTTTTCTAAACTTCATATGATACCTTTTGGAATGCAATAGAGATTATCAATTTCATTCTGAGTACTGAATACAGTGATCAAAAATATTTCTATCAAGTCCTATCTATCGTACTGATTGAGTAATTAAAAATTGCAGGTGCTTACTCTCTTGCCGAACCAGATGGCACTACTCGCATCGTTGAATACACAGCTGACAAAATCCACGGTTTCAATGCCGTTGTCAAACGCATTGGTCATGCGCACCACCCGCAACACTACAACACTCACAGCTCAGGTGGCTACTACTCTCACTACTAGATGGCGCTGTTACAACGTTTCACGTGTTTCCAACGACGCCCGATAGATGGCATTGCTTTAAGCATAATCAATAACCCGAATAATTCTTAAACCAGTGTCAGACTGTGATATTAACTTCGATGTATATTATTTATAATGTTAAACGTACGTATCGAAACATTATATAATTATCAAAAGGTAATTATTACTGTATTAGCTCGTAAGGTTTGTAAAGTAACGATGAATTGTTAATTGTTTTGATACAGCGGGATGAAAAATAAAGAAAAATACTTACTAGACACGTGTTTCATTTTTTACTCATTCATAAATGAAAGTGATGAATTAAGCCGCTTTTCCTACTGAAATTCATCATCGTTACAGGAGTAGTCGAAGCATGAAACATTGTTGAGCGGTCATTAATAAATATTACAAGGACGTTCACACGTAAACGTCATTTGTGATTGTAAAATTATTCAATCCTTTAATGTCAACATGTTTTAACTTGAACGATTAGACACAACGACATAACATCGCAAGCAGCATTATTTTCAAAAATACAAACGTAATTTGACAATACTAATTGAGTTAGGACTTCTTGATTTATAGCCGGCACTGCATTATTTAAATTGTGGTAGTTTGACTACAGAGAATTAGGTTTAATTACAGACTAATAAAATTTCTGTTCTGTTCAGTTATGAAGAATCACAAGACTTTTCTGTCATGTTTATAAGCGGTGCTTATCACTTACCGAAAACATACTATAGTAGACCAATTATTCCAATCACATGAAACTATATTATTTGCTTCTAAAATTATCCTTGTAAAAATTGTTGAAATAAATTTTGTTACATTTAGATAAGTGTTATTACTTTGTGTATCAATTACTTTTAATGTTTAGTGTGAAGGTAGGTTTACTTATTGACGAATGACGCCAATGTGTCGTTACATTGCTGTTACGCTTCAACAGACGGAATACCTGATATCAGGATATTAGTTTAATACTACGTTAAAGAAGCGACGGTTGTCACTAACACCAATATATTACTTTCTTTTGACTATTGTTTTGACTACAATGATAGATGATGTATGCGATTACCGATTTATTCTTACTTTTACACAAAGCCGTTTTTTGCTTAACAATGCTATTAATCTTATTCAAGCATCGCTTGTTTCTTTGTTAAGTAGATTATCGGAACTGTTTATCTTTTTAGTCATTCCGGGTGTGTAGCGGAAAATTCTTGAAGAAAGATTGTATCTTTTTGTTCCTCATATTTGTGCCCATGTGATGTATGACTAGACGACTTTGTAATATTTGTAGTGATCGAAATATGTACTTGTTGATGATAATGAAACAATATTTAGTCCCCGAATTATTGTATTTTCGAACGATTGAAATTTAAAACGGTAACATGCGAATAGTAAGCCTTTCTTTTTAATGGTCAAATAAAATTTAATTACCTGAATATCAGTACATTGTCGTGTATTTGCAACAATGTAAAAGTTCCTTATTACAGTTAGATATTGAGTGCATTTCCCATTTTTAAAGCAGTTTATAAACTTACTTCATTGTAAAATTTGGGAGAAACACAAATTTAGTGCGGGTTATTATTATTACTTTAATAAAACAAATCTACTACTTTAAAGGCTTATTGATAAAAGACATGATTATAAAATGTAACTGCTTCGGTAGTCGAATGGTTTTAAGTGTGACTCTCGTGGAAATAACATAGAATTCCTATAATAGGAATTCTATGTTATCTAACTATGTATGAACAGTGAATGTTACATCGCACATAAAATGAGCATCTCTGCTTAGTGACGAAAGTGACCTAAAGATTAAAAAGTGTTACAATAAGTTTACTAATATTATTATAATAGAAGAAAATCTTAGTGTAAGGCAACGTATAATTATAACATGGAACAGTTCTTAAATAATATAAGAAGTTTACCATTACAAAAGGGCCGGGGGCAAAAAGTCAACAATAAACTTATGCAGAACTTACTTTCAATAACTAACATTGTGTCAAGGTCTTCAATACAATTCAAACTGGCTCCGAATATCGTAATATTGTCAGATAATAATTACAATTGCAAATTACGACATTTACTATAGTGCGTTATGCGTTAACAGTAACTGCAATGACTTTCATGCGATCATAACTGAAAGCGTTCACTTTCATTGATTTGCATGCTAGAATGAAATTTTATTTTAATTAATTACATATCGATGGTTATACTTTGAGACCTTTCGTATGGATTTTATACCAAGATATGTATCAAAGGAAAAGATAATCATATGATTTACTATTTATTATAGAAATAATTGCTTTTTATTTAATCTCCTGTGTTACGTATTATGGTAGTGCCGCACCTTTGACTATTTAAATTCCTCCCTTATTCCTTTTAATATTTACTGAACTAAAAATCTTAAATGTATTTAAGTAATTTGTTACAGATTGTTTCATAAGATCTTTACGACTTAAACTTTTTCGAGCGTGAAAGTGGTAATTCGTCGTTAACTTTAAAAGATACATTTTATTGCTTGTCTCTTCAAAGTGTAAGGTACAATTATCTGATAGTTGCCGGTAACTGATCTACAATTATATGTATCACATCCTAGTCCAGTAATTGTCACGTTTATATGTGTGGGTGTGTGTAACACACGTTCGCCTGGGGGTGTTCCTGTGTGCGTTTATAAATAGGTAAGTGGTGGTCGTCGCGACTCGTCTCTATCTGGCTTCAACCTTGAAATGGACAAGTTTATAGTTGTTTATTAATTTTTTTTTCTATGGTTTTTGTTTTGTTAATATCGTGACGTGTATATGGTGGGATACAGTAATCATGGATAAAGCGCTAGTGATATTGGTATGTAAATTTTACTAATTTTAAATTTATTTCAGTAAATTATATTTACAATAAAAATAAATTTAATTTATATTACATATTTATAAATTACTATAGTATGATTTATTTCATTTGTTATATTAATTAGTGCAATTTTAGTATATTTTTTTAATTATAAATAAGATATTTTCTATTCATTTTAGATCCTCTTGGCAAATTTGTTAGCAACCAATTGTCAAGAAGGGGATTATGTGGAAGACACAATAGCGCAGATGACTGAAAAAGTGAGTAGAATCAATTGATTTCATTTTTTGTTACCATGATCATTACTTTCTTATTCAAGCCACTCACACAACCATAGGTAACTACTGGATATCAAAACTAATAACTTGACCTCCTATGCATATAATGTTACGCAATGAGTTCATTCATAATATAGAAATATGAACTTTTAATATAAAAAATAATTATAGATAATCTTTCAAGTTCGTTTCAGCTCTTGTGGTCTTTTCATTGGTTGGTGTATTGTGTTTTATTACTATTTTGGATATAGTTTATTCTTACACATAAAAGCTATGTGTGTAATTTCCATATATACAATTGTATTTGTTACAAAAACGTAAATGTGTTATTTAACATAGACTTTCTTAATAAACATGCTTGCTACATTATAAAGTGCAGTATATATATTTCGTAGAAAATCTCGTTCACAAAATGCCAGTTATACCCATATGTAATTCATAGAACCATTATTTCAATATGTTAGTATGCTGTATAAAAGAATGCGTCTCGTTGATATACAATTTTTACTAAAAAATAACTAACTTAGTTGTACTTATTTATTGTTTAGTTTACATTACTTCTCATATCAAAATCTATAAAGCATTTATTTTATTTAGTTGTACAAAACTTAAGGTTAATAATATTTTCTAAGGAAAAAAATTCATTAAAAATACATACATAATATTACTTACATACAATATACATACATACAATAATAGGAAGATACATAAAATGTTACGAATCAAGCAGGAACTAAAACTTTCTAGTACTTAATCAATGAGCAATAAATACAATTTCTAATATTAAGTACTTTGTATGACATAAAGAGCCATTAAAACTAAAACAACAATAAACCGTTAATAACTAGATTGTAGAAAAAAACTTCGTTCGATCATAAAACACGATAGCTCACGCGTTTCACTATAATACTACAGCGACCGTCGCATGCGCACGTCAATTTAAATACGCAAGTAGGCGTCGAAATTATAATTATACGTATAATTACTTAAATTAATATCGGCATGATTTTCTTTGTTTATTAATTCGATATTAATGCGCATTTTAAGTAGATCATTGTTTTTGCAATAGCATAGATTTTTAGTGTGGTAAATACACCGTGCAATGTTTTTTTTCGGTTTGTTATATTTTAAGTTTACTTTATAAATTTAAATAGAAGTAAAAACAATATTTAAAGCGTTAAAAGGTAAATAAAGGTTTGAAAGAATAGTCTACTTTTACTGAACTCGAAGTATTTTTATTTAAATTATTATTCTAGTGCCCGGTGTGTAACATTACCATGTTACTGTAACACCCGATACTAAGGCTCTACTACACTAATTCTCGTGATTTATAATACAGATTGAGATTTTCTGAACCACGTTTTAATGGCAGTTATAGTTTCATTTCAAACTTTTATTACCGTTCATGTGGTAAATCTTAGTCGTATATATCGTAATAATATGTCGTATCTTTAGGCGCGGTATATTACCTACATGTACTTCATAACGTTTCCTTACTCCGTACGATAATAATATGCATGACATTTTTTATAAAAAAAATATACCGATTCAAATAATATTATTAAATTATCATCAGATCTTACAGCTAATGTCAAAAATATGTCGAATGCAATTTGATAATTTTAAACATAATATTCTAACTGGTTTATACTTTTTACTATGACTAATTATACAACTGCATACTTGAGAATTTTATTACAAATCTTTTCAATATTTTTCTAAACATCGCATTATTTTTTATTCAGTTTTATCCTAAGCACTATACCAATGAATTTTTTTTTTAAACTGTCTACAACATCATCAATACTTTCTATCTAATGTTTTTGTTACCTACAACAAAGATACCAATCAGTTATTACATTTTACATCTGATTATAATTCATTCATGTGCTCTCCATTCTCTTCCTATTACACTTAAGGATAATTGCAATTACGTAAGAAATAAACGAGTTATATAAAGGAGTATAATCAATCATAAATTAATGAATAATTCGTGTAAATGTAGGATTATAACTTTCTAAACGAATTGTACTAAGTACAATAAGTTAAGTACGTAATTATCATTAGGATTAAAAAGATTAAGATGACAAGTTTAATGTATGTAATTTGACCACACGGTTGGTGCTGTGGCTGGGCAACCGGCTCCCGCGCAACGTCTCGCGCGTTCGATTTCCGCATGAAACAACTCTTTGTAAACACATCCACGGCACCGTACAAAAACCTAGTGTGGAGTAACGTTTAAAAAAAATACAATATTCGGCTTTGTAAATTATCTGGTCGAGGCTTTGACTGCACGGTTGGCGCGGTGGTCGGGCAATTGGCTGCCGTGCAACGGGCCGCGAGTTCGATTCCCGCACGGAACAACTCTTTGTATGATCCACAGGTTGTTGTTCCGGGTCTGGGTGTTATGTCTATGTGAACTCGTATGTTTGAAAACGCACCTACGATAAAGGAGAAAATCGTAGAGTGGGACGCTTTATTAAAAAAAAAGAGGCATCATTCGCGTCGATTGAAGAAAAATTAAGGCTATATCAGTTTTCAGACCTGTTCTTAACTACTTCCGGAAACAAGTACATAAAAAAATGCCCTATTACGTCATCAAAGGATACTACATGATGATCAAGAATTTACCTTGTAACCGTGCTTTTATTAATTTGTGTAAAAAGTATATAAATTGGTAAAAGCACGAGAATGAAAAGACACACTAATTAAGACAAAGCATATCCACATTACTTCATTACTGTTTCACTTTTAAAGTAATTAATTGACATTTATTTATTGACCAATAAACATTGTAACCTGACATTTTTGCGGGCCTGCGGACGGCGAGCGGGCCTGCGGACGGCGAGCATGGGTGGCTCCCCGTCCGACCAGAAACAGACCCGAGCGTACGGCGCGTCGCGTTCCGCGCGCGCCTCAAAGAGCCATCAGACCACCACAGATGGGGCCCAATAGGGCCGATGCCGATTCGGAGTCGCGGAGAACCTAACGGGTAACCGGGGCTCCGGCTCGACGTGCAGGAGAAGGAACGGGGTGGTTTTTAGTCAGTAAGAGTCTGACACTCCCTTCCGCCTCACCCAGGCGGGAGCAGTCATTCGATGATTTTCCCCCCTTAAAAAAAAAAAAAAAAAAAAAAAAACCTGACATTTTTAATTAATAGACCAGATATTAATCGTCTAATCACTTCTGAATTCTAGGGTAAACTATTAATTTTAATTTATAACATCTTAATTGTCTCTAATTTTTACTGTCAGGGTATTAAGATTCCATAAGATTTAGGACATATACACCATTCATTCCGGCATGGCCTTCCACTATCGCTACCACCTGCGCTAATTGGACTTGAATCAATGAAATTCTAGTTCTAGATCTTTGCAGGTTATTTTTTGCACTGTTATAGGTAGGTTGCGCTTATCAGTGACGAGGCTTGCAACATGTCAATACACACAAATACTCGCACTATTGAAAGTGGTCGCTGAATGTCGAAACGAATGCGGCCACCGGTTGTCTGGTTCACCCACTTTTCTCAAAGCAACGCGACTAGTACAACTGTTACACTGCTCTACTTGGTCGCTTTTAATAATTATTATTTTTCTTTTTACATATTATGCAAATCATAATTGCAGGCGCAAGGTACACGAACGCTTGCCAATTAATACGTTGGCATTGGATATTTACACAGTAAAAGTTTCATCACTTTCGATATTTTTTATTGTAATTATGCGCCGCAAATCGTTCATTAACAATGTTATCGATTACCGTTTCCATGTGCGAAAAAATAAGCAACGTGTAATTTTATACGTTGAATTAAAATGACAATCAATTTAGTTCAAATTCATGAGATACGATTTGTACTAATCAAGTAGAGTGTGAATTATGTATAATACATAAATACATCCACACTTCACAACTCACTAAAAAAGTGAATCTTGTTGAGCGAATCGAAGCGGAAACGAACGAAAGTGAACGATCCGTCATTGACATTGAGTAACGGCACGTGATGCGCACGCGCACCTGTCTGGCTCATCTTGAACTTGACGAGAAGATGGCCGTCAACAAGTGACATTTATGCCGCCAATGTTTATAAACAACGAGATACTTTTGTATGGATATCGAACTTAAATAATTTGATGATTTTAAATTTTAATGGTAGATTTAATAGAATGGATTTAGGTTAATTACCGACGTATGTTGATTGATTTTATAGCTACGGAAGTCGAATTTAAAAAAAAATTGAAGGTTACATCAAATACTCTAATAATTTTGAAAATGTTTATTAAATCAATACATCCACTAAATGCTTACGTACCTTACTTACGTACTTACGTACCCGTTTGTATGGATAACTATTTTACGAAATATTTTGTCCAGACTCATTCGGAACAATGTAACCTCAGTGTTGGGCAACGTCTAGTCGTGATTGAGAGTGATAAATGCCGCACGCGTTACGCCTAATGATTTGACAGACAGCCAGACATTAATACACTCACTCTACCTGATTGTAATTACCTGCATACCTATGTTATGGAAACGATTAAATCCCTCATTAGTTATTCAGAATATTAAACTAAAATGGCTGAACATGCAATCAATTGTCATAATGAGTAAAATACCGAATTATTACACGCAAGCTATCGCCTCACACATTCTCAGTTTTTTTCTATATAGAGACATCACAACGTAATTATAGTGGAAGGAAAAAATGTCGTTGAATTAATGAGTGAATGCTTTGTTTTTTATTGACAGGGAAAATCAACCTACTCGTTCAGCTATGGCGTCACTGACGGCAGAACTGGAGATGTTAAACAAGTATGGGAGTCACGAGATGGTGACACTGTTCAAGGTATAATGCATTTTTATAAATTATATGAAGTCTCTATTACTTGACTAACTCACCAGTGTTTAAATGATTTATTTTCTTTCTAAATGTTTCTAAATGATTCAAAAGCTGTTACCATTTGAAGGTATTAAATTTTTCGATATAATTATCTCAGTAACTTGACAGTTACTTGACAGAATTTTGGTGTGATTTTACTTTTATTACCATAAAAGAAGACTTGAAGAATGGCAATGAATCATGGTTATAAGCTAATAATATTTATATCGATGCATTGCTTTATATGTGTGCTCTCTATTTTACAGGTCACTACAGTGTACTAGAACCAGACGGATCTACACGCTCCGTACAATATTCAGCTGGACCAAACACAGGATTTCAAGCCGTTATTAATAGAGAAAATCAAAGACTTGGCGATGCAGACATAGGACGTAGTATACTAGAAGAAAAAGCAATGAGAGATTATGAAAAGTATTATGATTTCTCAGAAGACCCAGAAGAGGACTACTACGATAGAAGACCAGCAAAGAAACCATACGAAGCAAACCGAAAGGAATATCCTAACAGAAAAAGAACAAAATATCCATCGTATTCAGATCATCCTCTAGACTCTGAACCTAGTGAATTTGCACACAGCATTGCTATCAAACATCCACGCGATGAATTCTCAGAATTTGATCCACAAAGTCACGTTGGGTTTAATTTCGACCCGAATTGCAAAACAAAAACTAAAAAAGAAAGCTACTTTAATAGAGACAATTTGTATTCAAACAATGTCGATCTAGAGTTGAATAAGAAATATCCTCAATTTCCCCCAGATTCGTTTAGAGACTCGTACGACAAATACGCCGAACCAAGTATCGACTTTGATAGATACGTAACAAAGCATTACGGTAACGGTAACTTTAAGGGGCATAAATACGACGACTATCCCGTCAAACCATCTGCTTCAGTGAAATACACTTTTCCAGTGATACCTGACTTGCCTGCTCCTGAAAAGTATTACCCAGATGATATACCTCCCAGACCTAAGAAGAAGAGACCCCACAAACCAAGAGAGCCAGAACACCGCTTCCCAAGCGATGACTTAAATGATTACATTCTAGTTCCTAAGAAGAAACTAAAGAATACCACGCCTCATCCCGATCCCTACGATTTTAGAACACTCGATGATGATTATGAACGTCCGCAGTTTTCGAGTAACTTCGATGACACGTCACAGGATGACAGGTATCCAGGTTCCACACGAGGAACTGGGCAGAAGGAGGTTGTTCGAAAGATTGTTAAGAAAAAGAAACCTGTCATAAACTTGTTAGATATGTTTGATATTTAAGTTATTTGTTAAATACAAATTAGATTATTTATGTATACTGTGTAACTATATGGCCAAAGCCGGATAGGTTGTAATTAGAATTTTCGAATAAGAAACGTTGAGACAGACTGAAGAATTAACCAAATTAAAATAAAATATGGTTAAGTGTTTTTTCTATATAAGTCGTTAAAAGACTTAATTTGAACCAAAGTTCTTTAAAATAATTGACTGTGACGCTTTTGTAAATTAAAATGCATTTTAATTACAAACGAATCATTTATTTCCAACCTAGTCTTATTTTTATTACCAATTTTTAAACTTATTTAGAAAAGAAGAGCATGGTGTGGCATATGAATAACATGTGCAAATATTCCACAGGTAATATAGAAGAAATTAAAAATTACACAAAATAAGATTCAGAAATCGAAATGTTAAAACATGCATTACGCATGCCGTGTGCATTGCGCAAAACGGTCTCACAAAGGTAGTGAAAGTCCAAAGCCTCGGAAACTGGAGCGAGTGGGAGTGCTGGTGTTATATTACCTCACAAGGACGTGTACATGTATTTTTATATCTGGCAATGCAAAAATATTCCTATACCCAGAATAACTAATTGGGTCACTTTGTTACGAACCAAAACCAGATGGCCGTGGCTTTTGTCTCGCCGCCGATGATGTACTTTCATTTTTTCGGGTGCTTTTTTGTGTAATTGCATTAATTTTATTTATATCGTAGTTGTTTGTGCCCAATTTAGTATAGTTCCATGAAATAATTATTCTGTAGGTTTATTTTGATCTGTCGATATTACTCACCGAAATAAATTGGTTATATATGTATTATGTAATTTATATTATTTCTGCATAATATTTTGTACGGCTTATAAAATAAAAAATAAAATATATGGGAGTCGTTCCTGAATAAAGGAAAAGTCGGGGCGAACTAAATCCCCTTTGCCTCACCCGCACCTCCCAATACACATCAGAATACGAGCCAACCCACTTTATACTATTGTTTTGATTATTATACTAGTATTTAAATATTGAGACTATCTCAGATGGTAAAGTAGTATTACTTTTTAGTTTACTCCACAGAACATCGTAACAAACTAGATCAAATACCCTTGACTAATCCAGAAAACATACAAAAATTAGGGGTTTTCCTGTCTGTGTAGTATTAAAAAGTCTACTTGTGGCAAAAGATACCGCTTTCAGTTGTCAGTCTAAGCCTAAAGCCGAATTGGGTGTCATGCAGCTGTAGGTGTTTTGCTAATTGTTTATCAAGCAGACTGTCCAACGCTTTAGCCATGACAGTCGCTAAAGAAATGGGTCTATAATTGGAGATATCAGAGGCATCCCCCGTTTTATTGTTTACAATAGGTATTATCATTGTATACATAAGATTACCTGGTAAGTAGCCGTGCCGAATACACAAGTTAAAAAAAACAAGTACACGTGGCAGGTGTACCCCCGCATACTATAGGTGTTATGTTATGCGTCCCATGTAGCAGGGGGTGAGCCTATTGCCATATACCGGCCACATTTCCAGACTCCGTGCTACTACTGAGAATTTTTATAAAACCTAGTACTGCTTTGCCCGACCCGGGAGTCGAACCCGAAACCCCTTGTCCGGCTATCTGACTTGCGACCACACGGCCAAAGAGGCAGTCATTTTTCTCTTATTATTATTAATTTGACAGACGCTGTAAGTAAATTATTATATACTCTATCTCCAATCGTGATCTCTATCTGCAATCTTCTTTAGCTTCCTTCACATTATTACACATACATCACGGTCACGTCTTACAGGATGCTAAAGTGAACTCTAGTTAAAAATAGCTGCAAGATTTATTGTGAGCAATGATTTAACCTTTATGTAAATATAAAAATTATAGATGCAAATCGATGCATTTTAAGCGGTAAATGAACCTCTAATCATGCAAATTAGCGATTTCGTTCGCACGAAGTTTTAATTCGGCTTGTTGTTGCAATACCATATATTCCTAAGACATAAATGATAAAAAATATTCTCTTTCCCTGGGAAAACCATTTTTAAGTGATCAATTAAATCATTTATTTTATAGTATTTGTCAACTATAAAATTGATTCAGTCCCTAAAAAGTAATACGAGACCAAGGTGCTCCGAATATGATCAAAGTGTGACATTAATGTCCCACGATTTATGCGTACCGTTATGTTTTATTATATTTAGTTGCACATGCCGTTCACTAGTGGCGGCCATGACACCGTCGGTATTGTCGCAATGCGCCTGCGCCGAGCCACGCGCCGCGAGTGCCACGCGCACGCGCAACTTATGTCCCTAATCAGGGACTAGAGAAAGGTTTCCGCTATTTAATTATAATGTCAATTATGATCATGATAACTAAATAGAACAAGATATCGGTGACATATTAGATTAAAACGTGAACGTAAAGTGGTTGTAAAGTAATGTTAGGTTAATTTGCTGACCGGTACTTACATTGTAATTAATCAAACTTACTGTTACAGCTCTCATGACAATATTATTTTCACATTAAATACTTACCGATATTTATAAAGCAATTTTTTATGCAATAGGAGACAAACGAGCAGACGGGTCACCTGATGGTAAGCGATCAGCGCCTTTCATGGACACCCGCAATACCAGAGGAGTCACAGGTGCATTGTCGGCCTTTGAGCAATTGAAGCAATTTTGTTGAGTTTTAAATAGTCTAGTAAAATAATATTTGTTTCAGTTGAGTTCAGCTGTTTAACTCGTCGAGTACCGGTTTTATAGACACAATTAAAGTACAATAGGTCGCGGTCACCGGTGACCGCTTGGTGTTTGACAGTTTAATTACCATTTTTAACCAGAGGGAAGGAAAGTATTCTACAATTGCTAAAACGAAATAAACATTTCTGGCAGGTAGCAACACACTATACAATAACCAGGTATAAAATAAGAATAAATACGATAAGAAAATTGTGAAAGTAAAGGTAAAACCTCAATATCTTTTATGTAACATTACATTCAAAGGAATGCACCTTCGAATGCGAACTCGATCGATATCATTTTTATTAATTGTTGCCAAGTGAGTAGGAATGCAACTTTTGATGCTATTTTTTGTTTGCAAGTATTTTGCACTATTTTTCAATGATTTTCATATTACAAAATAAATGTAAATAAATATTATAATATTCAAAAGTCGCAGTAATTTACTCACAACAAAGTTAAACTTATACACCTATTCTTGTGTCTCTCTTTAAATAGTCAAAGGTATCTCTGCATCACCCTAAAGTTAACTGTTAAAAAATGCCAGAAGGCATTAAGTCTACCATCGTAAACCTATTGTGCAGGAAGTGTAAATAAAAAAATGAATGGGTACTGAGTACATTGTATGTACATATTTGAACATTGTAGGTACGTACCTTTAGTACGATCTAGAATTTGTGTCGCTGCGATTATCGATCTGTAGGTATTTTAATCATTTTTAATATATGTGATGATCAATTTTTATTGCAAGAATTAATTACATATTTTTGCTGCATTTAATATCAGAAATAATAATTATGTTCTCAGAAATATTAAAACCATTTTATAAAAATCGGCACAATTCAAAATTATGGTTAATACCAGATGTTCGAAGACTAATAAACCATTAAATCCTAATTATAATCTACTATATCTGAACAGTAGACCAAATATTGAAAATAATTACATATTTGCTCTACTTCATAAATTGATTGTAAAATGTAAGAAAAATGGTTACGGAAGCTAAATACTATGTATGTACTAAATACTATGTTTCTATGTAACTAATAATATGCGGCTAAGTAATGTTGATCTCGAGTTAGGTGTTGGTTTTCGTATAAGGCTAATAAAACTTAAGACACCTTCTTCACTGAGCAACAATATTAGGAAAACACGTTATAATTATTTCGTCTTATTAAGTAAAGAATGCAATGATAACCATCCAGATGTTTCTTTTAAAAATTTATGACTTACGTTGTATATCACATAAAGTTCACAATTATGGATTTTGAAAACTTAACATTAAATCATTTGATTTTAGGTTATTAAGATGCTGAATTACCTGGGAGGCTGATGATATAGAAACACCCAAAAATGTAGCTCAAAAATGTAGTATGAATAATTTTGCAAAGTTCTTAAATAACAAGATGGTACATGTTTTTGAATCGATCCTTAAACCTTTCAAAAAACTTCAACAATATCAGAAGTGATTGTAAATTCTTATGTTACCACCAATATCCTGTTCCTCGGAAACCTATAGATCACATGTGTTGTGTGCTGAATACATAAACGATTTCCATTTAACAGCAATAACACAATTTCTGAAGGAATGTGGACACTAATTGCAATACACGATTTAGACCACGGCGTATAACTTGAAATATTATCACAAAATCATTTACTTTATCTCGGTATACGTCTAATATTATCGTCAAATAGTTTTAAGTAATTTTGTTTGTCTCTCGCGCCTTTTAATATTACCATCTAATTATTTCCTTTGTCTCTTCAAAACATAGTATTCCTAATCAGTATAATCGTATAAAATTATCAGCGGAAATTATTAATTTAATAAGCAATTAGTCACTTGCTAATGACGTTTTTGGTATGACTGACTAGATCTGCAAATTTATTGTAGTTGTAAAATTATCAAGTTTCATCTTTTTTTAATATCTGATGTTAAAATCTCAGTTGGGAATAAGTTCATCGATATTATGATAAACATAAAACTGATAACGAATACAGGTTGCACCTCAATGCACCTCCGTTTATCCATCCGGGACTTGATAAAATTAATGTGTCAAAATTCACAAGTTTAGACATATTAATTTGTATTAGAAATATTTATAGCATCCATACACCATTTTTATTACCCTTTCACAATAATTATGAGTTGTAAAACATTAAATGCTACATTCACTCAGCAGTCTCCACTAACTTGTAATTACGACATCGTAAATAAGACGCTGTAATAGAGTAATAGTGTAAAAATGTAGTACAAAAACTAATCTTTTTTACATTTTAAACAGCGAGATGGTGTAATTTAGCATTGAAGTAAGTTGAAGTTTTATGTGTGCCTCTTCTACCAGTAGTCGTAATAGCAAAATTTACTGAGAAGGGTATTCTGGGAACGAAACATGCCCGTAGAACTGCGGTCAGTCAACACGTGGTACAAAGCAGTATCATTCAAAATTTTAATAATCTAACTCTTATCAACAAATCACTTGCCAAGGTTGAAAAAGATTATAACAAAACTATTCTGTACAAGGCCTTTCTAAAGGGAAACAATAGTATATGAATAGAATTTTACTGTTTCTATAATTAAGAAGTAAATTCAACTGTAACAAGGGAAGCGGTTACTGCAAAAATAAAAAAGATACTTGTCTTAAAATGTTATAGTAAATCAAAAGAATCACATAGAGATGGTAGCTCGAACCTTTTACTCGCACGCAAGAATGTAAGTGGTTGATACCTAATAGTGGGCACTTAGATAGATTATACCGTTCAATCTCAACGTGTGGCGCAGAAATTTGCATATACTTTTAGTAACACTTCCTCTTTCGTCACATACTCAAGTTGATTTGCATGATTATAGGCATTTTAGTAAATATACTTTATTTTTTAATAAATACTGGATGATTTGATCGCCTAAATTTAATAATTACGGGAAAACTAAATGTTAGTAAGTACTTTTTAGAGGAGTCAAGTTACTCTTCTTTATGCAACTGCTAAAAATTTAACTTTCAAATGACTTTGATTTCTATAATTCTTACTTTATCTTAAAATACCTTTTTAGTAGCAGGGTGAAACCTTCAAAAGGCACCTAAGCATGATTAGAATTACTTAAGCTTGTTTTCAGTTCCGCTAATCACTGACAGTTCTATCCGCTGTCGCAAGTTGTGATCTTGTTCCTGAGGTAATTTGATAAATCAACCAAATTAAGATCATGTCACAGATTAAATGACCGACGAGTTTAGAATATAAGTACTAGGCAGGTCAGTACACTAATATAGGAAATAGTATGAAGTTATTCTTGCATTAAAATCATCACATTTCTAAAGATTCTGAAAGATAAAATATGAATGAAATATTGGCAGTGTAATTAGAATGTAAATTTATACTAACGAACGATCGATTAATTAATTACTCAGAATATGCAGTAAAATACGAATTGGTTTAGCAAAACAGGGTCCTGTATCAAATATCAATACAATAAAAGGAGTTAGAAATTCCATTTGCGAAGGAATGAGGTACAGAGGCATTAGTACGAGTTTATTTTACATTTAAATTATTCGAAACGAGTACGCGTTAGGCGCTCTGATTGGCCGGCGCCAATAAACCAACCAATCACTCTTCGGATGTTCACTGTTCACCTCTGCCTACTCTTTTAATAAATAAAATAAAATAAAAAACTTTGCTGCCTCGTTGGTCGAGTGGTCGTAAGTGTGACTGCCGGGCAAGGGGTCTCGGGTTCGATTCCCGGGTCGAGCAAAGTATTACTGGGTTTTTAAATATTCTCAGTAGTAGCACGAAGTCTGGAATTATGCCCGGTATATGGCAATAGGCTCACCCCCTATTACATGGGACTCATAACAGAAATAGTGAAAAGTGGGTGTTAGGTACATTGTACAGTGGTATAATGTGCCTACCTCTTTGGGGATAAAAGACGTGATGATATGTTATGATATGTGTAAAATAAAAAATGATTGTCGTACTAAAACGTCAATTTATTTCCTTATACTACCTAACTATCGTTCTTCGGATGCAGAACTCTAAAACAATATCTTCCGCGGCTTTAATGATTTATTGATACTAAAGTTTTTACCTCAGAATTGTAAAATATTACGCCACCCACGTGTTTTATTTCCGCAGAGCGTTCGGGAAAATGCGAACTTGATTAATGGTAGTAATTTACACTTTTAAAAATATTTTTTAATATAGTTAGTATTATAGATGAAAAATATAATTGTAAGGGATAAGATATCGCTCAAATTGCATGAGAAAAGAATGGCTCTTCTTGTTCAGAAAGACTAATATTTTATTTATTGAAAACGTAAATATCAGTCCCGAGACGATTTATTTAGATACTCTATAAAATAAACCATTAGAAATATGGATAGGCTACTATCACATATTGGATTATTTGATGTCTGTTTAATATTAAATGTTGATTTGGTAATGAAACCTCGCTTATTACAGAGTTAATAATAAAGTCATGACTCGCTGACAAGTTGACATGTTTACGAAATCTATAATGAGATTGACACGCGCGAATTATAATGTTACATTATTATATTATCCCATTTTAGATTATAAATTATGCTTTA